TGCTAATGAAACAAGATAGCCAGTGCTGGCAACAGCAAATAACACACCCAGTTATGGGCTCTGTACTTTAAACATAGCAATCTTTGAGAAGAAATAGTAGTTCATTGTCAAAACAATAATGTGTGTTGAATGCAATCACCAAAAAAAAAATTATATTAATTATTAAACCAGTATTGGTGTTGTTGTTGAAATACAGAGCCATGGAGACAGCAGTGAGCTAAAGGCTGATGTCATACATTGTGAATTTTACACCTTATTGTGTCTGTATAATGATATACTTTTTACATTGTTATTATTTTACTGTGTCTATAAATCAAAATCTCTTTATCAGAGTAACAAAAAAGGTAGGTGATAGGTAAACATTTAATAAATGAACTTTGAACTCATAGATGACACATCGAGATGTATCAATTGAAACAGAACCATACTAAGTAGAATGCAGTCATGTATAAATACTAAGAAAAAACAGGATTACAACCTTAATATTTTGAAATGTATCTTAGAATATGTGTAACAGAGTGGCAGCAGAAAAAAAACATTCAGAGTTCAGAAAAAAGAAGAAAATCTCATTTCGCATGTGTATAAATATTAATACTTATTATTGAGGGACTACTAAGTAGCAATGTACCTGGAGGGGCAGTTCAGATTGCAGTGCTCGGCTGTGACTATTACTCATATTTCATTGCAATATAAAATTGAAAATATTAATTTATATTTCTCAGCTGAAATTAAATTAATGGTGGGGCAGAACTGCAATTTCACCATGGACATAAATTAATGAGTAAACAATCCTTTAAATCTACACAATCTTTTGAAAACACAGGCGTGTTTTTGGTAAATGATTGACTAATAAGGTGGGTTTTACTTCCCAGTGGTATTTTGGTTGAAAAGGTTAATATTGTTCTTTAAGTGTGTATCTATCTATCTATCTATCTATCTATCTATCTATCTATCTATCTATCTATCTATCTATCTATCTATCTATCTATCTATCTATCTATCTATCTATCGTTGAGAGGGCAACACATATGGGCTTCAACTGGCAGACACAGATAATCACAAACACCACGCAGCTTATCCTCGGTAATATTCATAAAATATGGTGTAATGCGCTCATGCACCATGACAACCTACTTTCCTCTGAGAGTACATTAAGAATTAACTATCTTTACACAAGCAGCTATATCTGACCTAAATATCGCTGCCTGAACTGTATGGCTGTCTCTGTAATATAAGGCAGCAGCCAGCTTTTGCTATGTCACTACTATGTAACTGATATAATATAAACATAATTTATCAATATGACATAAAAAATAAACCATGACTGTAAGTATAATGTTGAATTAAATGCAGTTATTAAATGAATACAATGTGTAATCATGTGCAGACTACAAAAGTAAGAATTTCTACGGTAAACCTGGCTTATCAATAGCTGCTCTATGCACCCCAGTTTCCTAGGAGGCTGGAATACCGTGTGTAAAATAAACAAACGCAGACTGCAACGACCTGCAGATGAGTTGAAAGATGTTATCTCAACAGCAGCATATTTTGTTCATGTATATGCATGTATAGATGCATCATACATGCCTATCATGAAGCATTAATGGTCACACGCATTCAAGTTCTCCATACCACATGTGCTGCTTGGAGCTATTATTTTAAACAACCTGCAAACCATTGCTCCATGAATCTGCATGTTACAAACCATTGTTTTTGTTTTTGGAAAGTGGTGGTTGTATATCCACAGTAATCAAACAATCTTTTAGTTTTTAAACATTTCAAAATTTATTAATGCTCTTCTTCTGCTGAATTGACTAAATGTTTGCTAAGTGTATCAAATTAGCACAGGAACACAGTTTCTAGCTTGCACATATTTACAGAGTTAAAAATATCTGTTGCCTCTGTTTGTAGTTCAAAGAAAATATTTTTGATAGAAATCTACTGCATACGTTTCTTACATGTTAAGAAATCGTTCTTTATTATTGTGCAAAATGTTTGATCTGATTACAAAATAAATGAATGTTGTTATTGACCATGATGAATATTAATGTTACAGCTTATCGTCTTATGTTTACTGAACACGTTCTGTCAAGTTCGATTATTCTACCTCAGTTGTATCTATATTCACAAACTGGCCTGTCTCTATTTAACTGGTTGTTAATGCGAATATAAAGAACTGGAATTATATGGTACTTTTATTGCTTTACATGGGTTAGAAAAAGACTTGCATCATGGCTGTTCAGTAACAGTAAAGACGTCTGCTCCTCTGTTTGACATGGGGGTATGTAGGTGAAGTGGTCCCAGCGGGGTTCTGCTCTGAAGTCGCCCCAGAGCCCCGCTGAGGTCAGTGGGTTCGTAGCGTGAATCCTCCCGGTGTCCTTAAAGACGGGTCGTATGACCACACCCCTATGACGACACCGTGTCGTAGATCAAACTGTATCCGTTTTCACTCATGGGTCAAGTTATAAAAAGTGAACGAGCGCAAAACCGGCTGGTCTGTCTTTCATAATAAAAGTCTGATCTCACGGGACCCTGGACACAAAATCACTGCTATCATATGATACATTTTCAAACTCGTGATGAAATGTCTTGAGGTTAGAATGAACTCTTTTAGCTTTTACCTGGTATCTGGCTTGTTTGTCATGAGAAAACAACTTAACATATATAACTTATAATAATTCTATTTTCTATCCAAATCAGGAATCATGTTTTTGGCCTTACGGTTTGTATGGATATCCTTTAAAAAAGAATTGTACATTTCTTTTCATATCTTACATTTTGTTACAGTGAACATATCCCCAGGGGAATCACGGTAGAATGCATGCTTTTAAAATTGTATTTTATGTGTGAAAGAACTTCACTTTGTGTTATTCCGAGGTATGTAATGGGAGAGGGTAACAGCTAGACCTAGCTATAGATAAGCTATAGACCTAACAAATACAATCCTTGAACACAACAGATATGAAGGGATATTAAGGGGAAAAATAGTTATAAAACGTGTATGTACCCCTTTTTTAATTGATTTAATACAAATAGGTATTATTTAAAATGTTGCATTATAAAAAGTATGTCTTTAATATAACCCTAAATTAATAACGTACGTTTCATATCTTATTCTTCAGCGCGACTTTTATTTTGAAAGGCAATCCCAGAAGTGCAGCCCAATCTTTTAGCTATAACACTCGCTCTTCGGGATTATTCGTAAACTCAAGTGCCCCCCAACCCGCCGATGAGAACTGCAACTGTTTTTTTTTGTTTTGTTTTTTTTTTTACAGCTGACACACTTCCCATTTCGATCAGGTCAGTCTCTTTTTCACTACTTGTATGGCTCGCTGAACCCTGAACCTAGTAGCTAACCACAGCGTAGCCAACAGCAACAACAGCGCTGTTACTCAGTGACAGCAAACAGGACGCACACTGCACGCGCGGATCCACGCCCTCTATCTCTCTGCTTGTGTTTATATTTCATTCTGAGCCCGTAAAAGTGGTTCTAACCCGCGGAGCCGGCTCCAAAAGTGTCCCCCAGTGTTATTTTGTGAGTCCCGCGGACGGCACCAAGTCAAACACAGAGGGGGGTCTACTGTACGAGCTCGTAAAAGTTTATTAACGACGGAATTAGCTTCAGAGGAGAGATGAGTGCTTCTGTTTTCCCACCCTCTCATCTCCAAAACGTTAGGTTTCTGCACCAATGAAGGGGAGGGAGAGACAGGAGGAGGAGGAGGACGGGGTGGTGGTGGTGGAGAAAGGGGTGTTTAACAGTCCTACAACCATCTTCTGTCCCGTTTATCCGCCATATAGGCCAGCTCGATACTGCCGTGAACTAACTTCCTGCATGTGGCTGTAGCTTGAACGGGATTTCTGGGCTGAGCGGTCACTGCTGCTGTCCATGCGTGAGCCTCTTCTCCCCCCTCCGTGGATGGTGCGGAGTAATATCATCTGGAGAGGCCGAGGCCGACATTTTACCCCGGTCCGGAGGAGCATTAACTCGGAGGGGACATCCGAGGACACGCGTTAAGGTAAAGCCCGTCTCGCAGCTTTGTGCCTTTGGACAAATACATAAGCATTTACGTAAAGTTTTACGACCGATAATTAACTGACAAAATATTTAAAGCACATATAGAAAAAAATATGACGGCTTTTAACGGTCTTCTGTGATAAAAATGGCTACTTTCACACGGATTTACACACTGTAGCTGCAGACGCACGTCACAAGAGAAATATTAGATAACTTTTTGCATCTTTGAATTAAATAAAACATTCACCGAGACGTTCACTAAATACCAATTCTGAAAGTATTGGTTGGCTTTCCACACGGTAGCGTATAAATAACGTAAGCAGTAGCGTATATATATAACTGTACATAAATACAGTTACCAATGAAAGTGGTTTAGTATATTAGTATATATGTAGTAATATAATATCGATACAAAATGAGACTTAGTATCATGAATGCTCCTGATCTTGACATGACTATTCTATACCGTAGGCTATAATGTACCAAATTACACTTTTACTACCCCATTTCACGCTACATAACGCATTTATACCGTTTTGTTTATGTTTCCTATATGCGCGGCCAGGCAGCTTTTGCTCCCGGTGTTTATTCTTTGTAATGGCTCAAACTTTACAGTTGCTCGCCGACAAAGCCTACATTTAATGACGGGCATAACTTGCCTCGGCCTGTAACAGCCACCATCAATCGGCAGCAGCACCTGCAGGTGGACCTACAGAAGCCAAAGTTGTTCTGAGATTTATTCAACTTTAATGTAACGAAAGTCCGAGTCGGTGTGGACAGAGAGTGGCCACCTGACCGCAGCTGGGGCCGTTAAAGCGCCGGAGCCCATCCACAGGCTCTCAAATCGGCCGTATTAACAATTAATATTGGACATCCGGTGGCACTGCCAGCTGCGCCCCATTTTTATTGTCTGTGCGCTGAAAGGATCCCTGTTGTCTCGGCTGGATACTCCGCGAAGCGTGGTGGCTGATTTAGGTAGGAATATTTATTTCTGCGTTATATTGCAGTTTTAAAAAAGTAAACTAAAAATGCATAAAATGTGAATGTGAGGTGTGAAAGAGAAAGGCTGGATGTGGGAGCGCGGCTCTCCAGCTCGCTGTGCCATGCGGGACACGCTGCTGGCTGCCACCATGGCACCTTCCCTTCGTGCTCTGGCTCTTTATGTGCTGCTGCTGTTGTTGTATCCAGCTGTGCGGGGACACAGCACCGTTGTGCCCCGTCAGTTCGATTCCACCGACCGGGTCAGTGATTAAAAGATTTATTCGGGAATATTGCGGACGCGCACTGGATGGACGGGGAAGACAGGCGAGGGGCGGCAGAAGGGGGCCACTTTTGCTCTCCATCGTTACGGGAAACGGAGCTCCAAGGACACGGAGAGGCGGGGGCGCATCCAGGTCGTTTTGGGTGTTTGTTCTTGTATTTTTATTCTTTGCAGTTATTAACATGTTTTAATTTTATTACTGGAGATGCGAAAGATTTTTCCCAGGCAGACCGACCTTTGTCCGCCGCCTAGATTTTTGGAGCTTTAATTTGGCAAATTGGCTTCCCAGACAGACTGACAGCCAGATCGTCTCTCCTCCCCGCTCTCCCGCCTCCTCCTCGCTGTTTTCGGCCACACTCTCTGCTATCACAGCCTCTCACTGGGCTCCTTCTGAATTTACTTTTTTCTCACTTTCAGTCTCTCTCCCTCGTGCGTAACCTCCATTCATTCGTGCAATTTGCCATCAGCCTGGAGTTTTTTTTCCCTGATTATTTCTGAAGAGGCCTCCAGCTGAAAAAGGTTCAGTGTCTGGTCAGACTGCTTTAATTTTGCCTCGTGGTCCAGTGTCAGAATGACTTGCTTTCCACTCCCACATGTGTGCGTTATACCCAGCTAGCACTATACTACGTTAATTCTGAAAGTGCAAAACAAGTTTTTATGGAGAAAGTGTGGTAGTATATGGAAAAAAAATACCATAAATTATCACATGACTGTTTGAAACTTCAATAATAATAATAATCATAAGAGAAATAGCTGGCACTCCTTAGGCAGGTGCTATACTTATATCCTTGCTTGCAGACTGTCATGAGGACAGCTGCCACACCATGGACATGTAGTCCTTCCTGTTATACTTTCAGTTAGGTTAGGGGCCAGTTTAAGCAGTTATGTCTAGTTGTTCCATTGCAGTGTTTCATTAATGAACTTCTGAATACTCAAGAACTCTCACTCTCTGGACTTTGAGTTTCATGTGGTGAGATAGTTCACAACTACTGGAGCTCTACAGAAGGCAGAAGGCAAAAAACTGAAATTTTGACTTTTTATTTTTTTTTAATTTTGGTAATCTTAGTTTAGTTTTTTCCTCTCTCTGTTTTCCAGGTTTCTCTTTTAAAACACCTTTCTGTAAGTATTTGGGACCTCAAAGCTCCAAGAGCCACTTTACAGTAACATCTGCTGTTTTGATTCCAGGCATGAAGCCATTCATTTCAGTTGCATTTTTATTTATATAGTATCAATTCACCACAACTGTCACCTTAAGTCTCTTGCCATTGTAAGCTAAAGACCATATAATGCTAGAGAATAAGGACCAACAACCAGATGTGAACAGCGTTTGGTGACATTGGGAAGGAAGAGCTCCCTTTTAACAGGAAGAGACCTCCAGAAGAACAGGCTCAGAGGGGGTCAACCATCTGCAGGAGAGAAATTAGCAGTGACCACCTGGTAGCATTCACTTTCAACCACCATAAGCTGCTGCTTCTTATAGGCATATGAAAGTATCAGTTGTGGTTGAGCTATGCTCCTGATCTGTTTTAGTTATCTTTTGGAAACAGGCATCGTCAGGGCAGACTCCTCTAACATGCATTTGCGAGATGCTAGCATGCTTTCTGAGAAAAACTAAGACATAAGTGTCATTTTATTTCAGTTTGGACATTACGAAATACATAAAACACTACTGTTCATTGAGCTCCCTCTGCTGCAGTCTCGCTTTCACAGCAGCCAGTTTCGTTCGACAATGGCATTGAAAGGACGATTTCTGAGAGAGTAAATTGGAAAGCCCTCAGATTTCTGTCCAGAGCCTCATTAACCCTCTGATAGTGAAGCTCACCCCCCACACTTACTTTCATTCTTGCAAACAGGGGAGCTGTAACTCTGGTGTCATGGCGATGCTCTTTACCCAAATAAAAACCCCACCACAGGCAAACCGTTTTAAAAACTGCTCGTGTTGGAATACAGTGGGGCTGAAACAATTCATGGATTGGTCACCTAGTTCATCAGCTGAAAATAACCAAGAACTCATTTTGAATTTTAATGTTGTTTTCTTTTTCTTTTTTAGTTTGAAGCAAGAAGTACGTCCTTTTTCCAGCACATCATTTGAATGACAGTAAATAGACTGGATCTGCATTCTTTATTGTAGCTTGGGTGAAACAATGTGTCAGTTTGAAATGTAGGAAATTGTAAATAAGTTACGTGCCTTTTTTATGATTATTTTCACACACAACAATTGAGAAAACAAATGCCAGATGAATCAATAATAGTGCAACTGTTTGCAGCTTTTGAATGTACTGTAGATTTGTTTTGGAAGGGTACATTATGGCGTGACACAGATTCTTTTGAATACTCTGCCCTGTGTTACATAACAAGCTGTTGCAAGGATATGGGTTCAGTTTTATTTTGCATTTTTCTGTGCCCACACAGTGTTCACCGGATAATTGCTCCAGTGCATTTGTAATAGACTAATAGAAAAGTCAGCTCTAAGTGTACATGGGGTTAGAAATGGCTGCAATTACTGTAAGTTCTGAAGGCATCGAAAGGTCCTCTGTGGCGGGGGATGGCTGGTGGGGGGCCTCCATAACAAGGAAAAGTAAATTTCGTCATGCACCACCTGCACTACATGAACCATTTTCTTACCGCATTGTGAGTGTTAGCATATATATTTACTTTGTCAGTGTGCGTCCAGTGTTGTTACATAAGCCACAGTTGTGCAGGCATCCACTTTGCTTGCGGAGTCTTGTTTACAAAGCGCTAAATGCATCGTTGGCTGAATGTAAAGCCTATGGTTATTGGTTACTGTTGACTTTTTTGTTTCCCCGCTGCCTTGCTGTGAACTCTGTGAGTGTGTTTATGAGCAAAGAGCCCTTTGGACTGTGCCCTATATTTAACCAATGTGCACAAAAGGATTTCTCAGCTGTTATTGCATGAAGCCACCTATATCAGCCATGGTATGAACAAATATAAATACAAGTCTGTTTGGTGTATCTGTTTCATTGTGCAAATTTCCCCTGTAGAGGCAGCAAATAGCTAGAGGAGCGCTGTGTTCATATAAACAAGATTAAAAGAAATGGTAAATAGTACGCCATGGGCACATTTGCATGTGCGCTTCGCTCCTGTTTGCAGGATATATCAGCACCAATGTCGCATCCGGCAACAGAGGGGAAAGTGGCTTGGTAGCCTACTAAATGCCATTTTGATTTATCGTATTCAAAAGCTTTTTTTTGCTCTGGTAAGTACAGAAATATTCAAAGCTGGCACTCAAACAACTTTATTGTTGGTACAAGTGAACTGCTTCCTTAATAATCTACATAGCTTTAACCCTTAGTGCAAACTCCCAGAGCTCCGCGTTTCAAACGGTCCCGCTCTTTGTGCTGTAAACTTTATGATAAATAATGTGTATCTTTTCTTCATTTGTATGAAGCCTGGATTATTATATTTATTCCACCCGTTGGTTATCAGCTTCAGAGGCCTGTTTGTGTCTGATAAGTGTTTGTGTACACAGTATGTTGGTAGCTGGCTTGTCTCATGTGCCAAATACCAGTTTTCCATTTGGCGTGCCAAGGCAGTGTCATAACCGCCCAGCCAATCCTCATTTCCTCATTCTTGTGTGCCTGAGGTCAATCCACAGAGAACGTATTATGGCATTGTTCTCAAACACTGAACCAGGGTCTGTGTGAGCTGCTTTCTTCGACTTTTCCACAGGTACTGAACAGTAGGTCTGCATTGTTCCTGCGGCGTGTGTGTGTGTGTGTGTGGGTGTTATGTTGCTCGGTATTTCATCATGTTGCCATCTGAAAAGAGCCGGGTGTATTCGGCGCCTGCAGTGTGGCCTCCTCCCTTCTCCTTTAAGGGAGAATCAGAGTTTTGGTTACACAAACATTAATGAATGGAGCAGCTGAAAGCAACGTCAATGCTCAAGTTTACCCGTATGAGGCGGAGCTAAAGAAGCAGTTCTTCAGTGGACCAGTAAGATAGTCCGATGAAAAGCGATTTACTGTGTGTGTTCGTCTGCACCACTGTTGCTCATAAACAATTAAAACACATCAGTGAGTCACAGTGTTGCACTGTGACATGTAGCTTCAATATTATTAACACACTGCAGAGGGGGTTTTTTTGTTGCTTTTTTTTAATCTGGCGTGCAATCTGTGCATCTGTTCGTGGCTGAAAATGGTCACCGACAAATGCACCATTTCTTCCTGTTCACTGTGGAATTGGTTGAAATCTGTGAATTTTCCACCCGCCTGTCCTGCACCTCTTGCCTCTCTTCCCTTTCTATTCTAAGCCCCTTCAAACAGACAAGTACACGACACATGCTTCATGGGGCTACAAATAGGTCAATGCTGACTTTTGACTTTATAATTCCTGCGATACTGTATTCAGATATCGGTCCAGTCTTTACTCAAAAAGCTACGCCTTTTATCAGTGACAACGTGCAGATTTGTGAGGTCAGTTGTTTAATTCTGTGTTTAACACACCATCCGTCAGTGTCGGTGGGCCAGTTGTTAGCAGGAGATGTAACATAGTGTGAATGAAATTATCAGCAGAGGGTTAGAACTTTGTAGTATTTCGCATTAGGATCGATAATAATTTTGCTTGTGCATTACTGTCTAAAAGTCTTGACTCACCCCTCATTTCTTTATATTTTTCTTGCAAGAAGCCACACTTTATTTTTTAAAGAGGTCTTGAGCTACAGGTTTGTTTGTTTTTTCTTATACTAATTTTCAGTTCTTGTACCTGTGTGAATCATTCAAACATAAAAAGGCATCTGACTCAAGGGATAAACCAATGTTCTGTTTACACATAACAGACAGTTTGGTGCCAGACAAAAGATCTGGCAGGTGTAAAAACTATCTGCAGCAGATAAACTGAAAGTCATGTCCTTAAGAAATACGAGAAAATCCAGCAAAGACCTGACACAGGAGAGATGCATCTGGTCTTTCTGATAAACCATCGATGTTTACCAAAACCTCATCAGAAGTCTCAGTGGAAGGGAGGTTGTCTTGACAGAGAGAAAACACTGAAGCATGCCAAATTACCCAAGAACTCGACTGAAAATCAGTGGCAACAGGTCTTATAAAGTGAATTTCAAACTTTAAATTTTTGGTTCAGATCACTATCAATATGTACAGAAGTGGTTAGGAGAGAGGTACAACAGTAAGTCTCTGCAGCCACCTGTAAACCACATTGGAGGCTCTGTCGTGTTTTGAGACTTGCATATCAACCAGTGGCGTTGGGGATCTTGTCATAATTGGTGGAATTATAAATACAAGAAAACACAAACAGATTTTGAGCCACCTTGAAATCTGGAAAGTATCTTATTGGCAATGGAAAATAGGCTGCCCATTCAGTGAAAGAATACCTGGATAGAAAAAAACACATTGGAATACAACAGTTTTGGATTGGCCTCCTCAGAGCCAGGCGTTATTGAAAGAATGTGGGATCATGGTGACAGAGACGTAACAATAGGCAGGAAGCAAAGCCTGCCTACTGGAAGCTGGGAAACTATCCTGCTCCGAGAAATTCTGAAGACTACTTAAAGGAATGACAAGAAACCTTGCCTAAGATTTCAGGCTGTGTTGAAAAATAAACATGGTCATACCAAGTATTAACTTTAAGCTAGTTAGAATTGTACAAACTCCAGTTTTTGCCTTATCTACTGCATTTCCATGTGTTTGCACTGATAATTTCCCTTTTTTCTAGCTAAATGTAAAAAAATAAGGGGTGGCTCAAGACTTTTGCACAGTACTGTATGTTTGGAGCGGTTGTTCTCAAGTTAGTTGGCATGACTGAAAGCTCTGATTATGATGCTATCCCTGTCAGGCTCTCTGTCTCTTCCTCTTGGGAAGCTTTTATTGCACTCAAAGTTGCAGAGCGTTTTGTCATCAATGCATTTATTATTGTTTCATATGTCGACTTTCTTTTGTGATAGCCAGTCTACATGCAGTGTGTGCAGATAGCTGGCCACGGTATCTGTAAGGTACTGAAACTGGAAGAACTGGATGCATATCAACTTTGTACTTTTCACCTGATCTGACTTGAAAAAATGGCAGTTTGTCAAAGTATGTGACCACTTCAATAATATAATGCTGAAACATTATTTAGGGTTTTAAGTAAGGTTACTTGTGATGTTTTTAAAATGTAAAAATAAAACAAAAACTTATTTTTAAAGATTTATATTAATAAAAGAAGGAGTGAATCAGTTGGGCAGTGAAGAGAGCAGACAGAGATGGACTGACTTCTTTCTTTTTTTGTTTGTTTGCTCATGACCTTGGCAGTCATGATACAAGCTAACACAGCTCAATTCAACTTGTCAGCTAAGCTTAACTAGCTTGCTTTGCACATTTTTCACTTAGCTGGACAAGAGCTAATATTTAGCCTTGAGGATATTGACTTCCTCCTGCCCTGCATACTTTAGCCTTTTGATTCCATAGCATACAAAGCATGGAAGCTGTGTTTTATTGACAGTTTAAACTTAACTAGTGCTAATCTTTAGATGATCTATCCAAACTCTTCTCCTTTCCAGCTCATTGATCCTCATCCCACACTGGTCATGTAATGTTTAACAAATGAACATCAAAGTTCTCCTTTAATGCACATAACAGTATAAATAACAAATGCCAGTGAATCACATGAATGCTTTGTCACACAACAGAATTCAACCTTTATCTGGTGCATGAAAGCTTTTGCGTTTGCTGTTTTAAACACTCGTTGTTAGCAGAGGTTTCTCAGGAAGTGATATGTCCTACATTTTTGCAGCACCAGCATGTTTTTTTTTCATGTTGAATGAATGGATGTATTAATAGAAAGCTAACCAACTAATGTAAGTAACAATAGCTGCCGCTGTAGAACAGACAAATAAAGAGCTCTGAACTCATTAATGTTTTGCTTTACAAATACAAAATATATAAAAAAAAACCCACCACAATAAACAAACGAAAGTGAATTTCACAGATTGCCCTTGTGAAATGTTTTCTGTCAAAGAAGCCCATTCATCTAAGAGCGGCACTGTGGATCTGTTATTAAAAAGACACATTTAAAACCTGCATTGTATCATCTGTACCGCTGTCGTCTCCTCCTTTTGTGCCGATCAAACAATCTGAAATCAGTAGCAGCAAACAGACAACTTGTACTGCACGAAGCCAACAAAACAATATAAGGCTTATGTAACACTGTAACATTTTTGTGTTCATATTATGTATTGCATCCCAAGATTTCATTGTCACATTGATTTGCTCCCTTTTTTATTGTTTTCTCCTTCAGGCTGAGAAATCGAGAGCTGCAGAGCTGCGACATGTGAAAAGAGCTCACCCACTTGGCCTACTCACCTCTCAATCTTAGGTAAGTACTTTCTTCCATTTCTCTTTGTCTCCTTTTATCTACCTTCACTTCTATCTTTGTGATGAACTCTTCTTTCCCTCTTTTGTCTCTGCTGGTGACATCTCAATGCTCAGACCGGAACTCAGTTGAGTTTTTCGCTGCTAAACTCACTCACACTCACGTTGGGACTGCGACCTGACAACCTCCTGCCTTGGGCATGCCTCAGGTAAAGTAGGAAAGCTTCAGTGGCTCTCACCCATCACCTCTGAATTATCCTACTTCTTGCTTCGGTGTTGGATTTACTCTGTGTCTGTGTGTTTTACCTCCTTTCCAGCCGGGTATGAATGGGATGGAGCCTGCATTTGGCGAGGCCTATGGGGGGCACAGGGGTCTGATGAGCCCCTACCCTCTGGCCATGTCGCCACAGGGAGGCAGGACAGAGTACGACCAGGTAAGACAGCACAACATGGACAGAGCCAAAGCTCACGCAGCTTATAGTGTGACCTCGGGTAGACACTGTATAGTACACACAGATATATTAATAGCTGCCTAATTTGAGTTGGTGAGTCATTGTAGCAATTTAAATGATGTCATTAGTGATTGATCTATTAGTGGACAATACCGTGCTCTTACTTTGAAAGTATATCTTATTGGCTAGCTTGCTGGCTGTCAGTACAGTCACAGTTCAGCTGCTTCCCCAGAGAGGATTTCACCCTGATGTCAGATCCAGATCCAGCATCTGCACCTGGTGATACTACAGGAGGAGGAAACCTGGTTCATGTGTAGCGATGCTCAGCTCACTGAGGCTGCAGAACAGAATAAGCACTGTGATCACCAGCCTATTTGTCTATAAAGTGAAAGACTTGCAGGAGCAGCAGCTGATTATAATGCTCAGTTATAAATTTGCCAACCTGCCAATAATCAATTCTTAATCTCTGGGAAAAAATGTGTTTGTCTTTAAGGACAACAAAATATGACCTGTTTTTTATTTGTAATGTAGATTTTTTTTTTGCTTGCATCTCTACATTTATTGTTCAATCTTCTGTACTATAGTTTTGTGTTTATTTTCTTCAGGAAAATAAACACGGGCCACAGGCTTGATGATGATTGGATCGTGAACCATTTCCAATCCACTTGATCTTTAACCATTACAGCTTTCACTACACCGCACATTAGAGCTATTTCTCAACTGTATTTAAACACGTGCTTTTATAAGAGCACGGGAAGAAGTCTGGAAAGACTTATCATTAAACAGATGCCCAGGTAAACTGTGCTTTTATGATAAAGCCTATATTATTAGGTTACATACAGCGATGAAGTCATCCTTCCGCTTCAGTGCTGTCACATAATCCTCCTCCTCTGTCTGTGTGTGCATTGATGCATTAAGCTGCTGCATGTCTCTTCTCTTTAATGTCCTATCATGCCTCTATTAGGAATATAATGAGAGCTCAGCAGCAGTAACCGCAGTGGCAGAAGGTCAGGTGGTCAGGCTATGGCAGAGTGGGAAATGTAATTGGGACACGAGACCGTTGTTTGTATTCTGTTTTTGGTTTCTGCTTGAAAAGCCATTAATCCTCTACCACTCTCAATCTTTTTGTATATATATACATCGCAAATACAGTTTATTTATTTATTCAGCAATGTTTAAACATCATGCCTCACATGAAAACAAGACCGAATTCTTCACGTGGCATCTCAGTTATCAACAGTCAGTGTATGTGGGCCAGGTGTGAAATAATCCTGACAGGATTACGGCACTGGGGGAGGGTGGGTAATTTTGATTAAGGTTTTTTTTTCCCCCCACACAACTCAGTCTGACCTGTTTTAGTAGCAGAAGTAGATTCACAATTTAACATGCTAGTAAATGCTGTCATTTTACACCAAAATAATCTTTAAAATACTGAATGATTTAAAAGTTTGTTTATTTTTTTGTCACAAATCATATGTTTAAGTGTCATTTATCTCTGTCCCCCTTTTAGAGTGTGCTCCTTATGCTGGGCTCCCCAGCATTGCCAAGGAAACGGCCCTTTGAGTTGCTAAGCGACCTGGTGGACGACGGAGGCTTTGGTGAAGACTTGCACCCAGAGCGCTGGGATGTGTCCGCGCTGGATGAGATGGCTCGTTACACCAAACTGGGCCTCGGGGTCGGAGGGGAGCTGCTGCCCTGCTCCGAGGAGGCTGTGCTGATGGGCTGCTGGGGGAGGAGTCGGGAAGAGCAGGAGGAAGAGGATGAGGAGGAGGAGAAGAGGAGGAACAGACACGCAGTCCCTCCTGGCACCCCGGAAGTCCAGAAAACTGCTTCAGGGAAGGAGGAAGAGGAGGAGGAAGGGTGTATCTCTGTTGCCCGGACAACAGAGCTGTGCGTTTCAGGAAGAGTGACTGAAGGTGGACAGGATGAGGGGGTGTCAAGGGAGCGCACGGTGGAGGTGTATCAGGTGGCCCAAGAGGAAGAGGAAGCAGCAGCAGCTGCAGTAGGACTGGCTCTGGAGCACTGCAGTGAGGAGCACAACTACTCCCTGAGCCAGGGAGGGGAGCTGGGGGCAGGACCTGCTCACAACTCCCAGACAGAGGAGGTGCAGGTGGTGGAGAATCAGCAGGAAGAGCAGGATAGGGAGGACAGCCAGGCCGAGACCGAACTGAAGTTGGAGGATGAGGATGAGGAGCAGGACGAAGACGAGGAAGAAGAGGAGGAAGAGGGAGAGGAAGGAATGGAGGAGACAGTGGTGGAAGCTGAAATTTCGAGCTCCTCGGAAACTGAATGTGGTGAGTTCTGGCTTCAGTGTGTGTGCGTGTGTGTGTGTGATGGCGCGGACATCTCGGCTCATCACAGCGCGGCCAGCAGCCTGTCTGCCCACACACAATCCATTTTGTTCTGCCTCCAGTCCAGACGAGACCTCAAACCGTCTCGTCTGACTTGGTTGGCTGAGCACAGGCACATGTGATACCAAATTTTGCGGGTGTAATTCCCAGACATCACACTGCTTCAGTGACTACAGTGTTACTGTTATAAAATGGCTTTGAGGGCTGAAGTGTCTTTGGGTATTGAAATACCATCTGTAACAGGCGCGCTGCTTTGTTTCTGGGATGGGGTGGGGGTTTAGCTGAGCACGTTAAATAGGGTATGAAAGTTGGTACAGATTGTTAAACAACCATTACAGAAGAACGGGATTTCTAAGCAGCTTCAAAAGCAACATAAAGATGCCAGCTACAGACTGCAGCATTCAGCTGGTGGCTCATTAAAAACCATTTTTCTTGCCTCATTATTTCTTTACAGCCCACTTATCTCTCATTCACAAATATCAAAGGTACATAGTACAACTCAAAAGCAGACTTGATCAGTTAATTCTACAACTATTTTGGTAATTGCTTAACTGTAAAGATGCCAAACTATTACAGATTTTCTGCTTCTGTGTTTTATGTAATACAAATAGTAGAAATAGTCTTTGCTTTTCAGACTCTAAATGACAAAAGAAGAACTTTGAAGCTGTCACACGGGTTCTGTGAAATTTGACATTGTTTCATAGTAATGGATTTGTTGCTGTTGTCTTCAGGATGCACAGTTTGTGTGCTAAAAAGCATTCCTACAACGTGTTTCAATGACCAGGACTTTTTGTAATTACTGCTAAAGAAACATTTGTTTTCTATGGCGGATTGAAGTCTCCTGGTCATAGCACCTTTGGGTGCCAGTACTGAGTACCAGAGTTAACATAGATGTGAGCTTTCTAATTAAATATTTTCAGTATTTTCTTTTTAATTTTCAATTCTAGTTTCAGTTAAACTCTGGCATGAGTTTACTGTTATTGTTGTTGTTGTGTTTGGTTTTGCTTTCATTAGTTTCAGAGTCAGTTTTTGTCTTATTAATTATTATTATATGAAAGCTATTTGTTTGGGACAGAATGTTGAAGTGTTACATTACAGACAGATAATATTTTGAAACTGATTTGAATTAGTTTGTGAGGACACTGTAATGTTTCTGGGGATGTTCAAGCATATTATTAATTATTAATAATTTTAATGATTAATTATTATTAATTTAATTAATTATTAAAGAAAATTATTTGCTAGTTGTTCATTCTGACAGCAACGTTTAAACTGAGCTCGCTTTAAGAGGATTGAGTTAAATATTGGCCTAACAAATATTTTGTTGTTATTATAGGAGCTGTATGAAATTTGTAATCACATTCCTCCTTAATCAAATGTTGTTGAAATGTGTGGCACTTTGAAATGTGTGTTTGCGCTCTGTGTGGTGTTGCAAACACACACTACGTCAGATTAGTTTGGCTAATTTTAGCAGTGTTATCAGCAGTAGCCTGACTTTCTTCCATGCTACTGTCCACATCGTGATACAAAATATGGTTATATGTAGCTTTGGTTGCTTGGATATATTCCACTTTATTCTGACAAAGCTGACATACAACTGCTCTGTTTTTTTTAAACATCAAAGTAATGCAGAACAGAGCCAGCTAGCAAGCCTGTCATCTGTTTACTTTCACCCTCACTCATTTACAACTTCCTTTTTTTAACATAGATTTCCTACCTGTGTATAGAAAGTGTGCCACATAAATGCATACAGCTAGATAAAGTAGATGTGTGTACAGTAAGATAGTAAAATGGGTAGTAAAAAAATCTAATCTTAGCTCAGTGTGACTTTACTGTCTTTTCTGCACTTTCTCTTCTTCAGTGCACATGCACACCCTCTCTCTCACACACTCTCTCACAGACACAAACACACAATAGATAGGTGATGTGAACAAAATATTCAGTTTGAGCACAATCTGTTTAATTTTTGTAAATGCAATGAAAGTTTACCTGCAAGAGTTGAACCCAAAATAAGAGAGAGATAGAGTGAAGCCAGCAGGGAAAGGCATCAGCTTTTCACTCAGCTTTAAATAAGTTAAGAAAAGTTCCATCCATCCATTCGCTTCCGCTTATCCTTTTCAGGGTCGCAGGGGGCGCTGGAGCCTATCCCAGCTGTCATAGGACGAGAGGCGGGGTACACCCTGGACAGGTCGCCAGTCTGTCGCAGGACCAACACACAGGGACAGACAACCATTCGCACTCACATTCATTCGCACATTCACACCTAGTGGCAATTTGGATTATCCAATTAAGTTAAGAAAAGTTATGAAATGAAATTTGCACTTAAACCACAAACTAACAAGCCTGACATTAAAAGCATCTGAACTGCTGCTGGTTGGTGTTAGCTTCTTTCATGCTGTGTTAATATGAAGAGTACACTGGTGCTGTAGAGCACAAAAGTGCCCACCCACTTTTGGAAGGTCTCCCATGAATTCATGAAGTGAATTGCCCTTTCATTTTTTCTATTGACATTTCAGACAATTCCTTTTTTAAAGGTAAAGGTACAAGATAGTGTACATAGATACTTTTAACAACAAAGGAGCTACTGATGCAACAATGCCATACAATTCCCAGAGTCTGCATTGAATGACTTCCAGCCTTCCCAGATTTACTCCTTTTCATTATTCCAGTATTGTACAATATCCATCCACCCCTCCATTTTCTTCAGCTTCACTGATTCGGGATCGTAGTTGGGCTGAACGCTATACCGGCTGTCGGTGAGTACACCCTGGACGGGTCGCCAATGTAGCCGACATAGAGAGAGAGAGAGACTATTATTCACACTTACACTCACACCTACTGCCAATTTAGGCTCACCAGTTAACCCATGCATGTGTGAGGAGTCTTACATGCCCCCAGGGCCAATGCAGGAAAGGTCTGTATGGCCTAGTTATCCGTATGTTACAGTGCTTGGTTCCTGACTGTCTTCACTTTTAAGATTTCTGAAGTTTCATCCTTAATCTTGACACATTTCTATGGCAACCGTAACCTCCACCAGTCAGAGACGTCACTGCTTCAAGGTAGGGTTGTGGGTAGAGTAGTTATTTTCTGCAACATCATGAATGAAATTCTTTTTTTCTTTTCATATTTTTATATTAATATTTATATTTTTATATTTTATTTTTATTCTTTTTATATTCTTTTTAGAAAAAAACTATCACTGGGTCACTATCACTAGGTAAGTCAGCGGTACAAGCTGCTAATCAGCATCCCTATGGAGAATATGAATATGGTTTTTCACTTCTGGAACTTAAGTATTGGGGTCTTTATATCAATACAAGCTATATGTTGTTAAAATACATACTGCCACCAGTTTGCTGCATGACTATGACTGAAATGGATGCAGTGTTGTTGAGTTTAATTTCTGCTGCATAAAACTGAGTAGAATCACTGTGAAAAATTTTAGAACAGCTTCAATATCGTCACTGTTTATTGACTTGATGCTGTAAGGCTGTTATTTACTCTCCTGCTGACTGTTTTGATTAGATGAAAGTGAAAGAAAGTCAGCTTTTTAAATGTCACTCTGGTTTGCTCATAAAAAAAGGAGCTTTCATTGTATTTCAGAACTCAACTGAGTATCTCTTATGTAGATGTGGGGATGTTTATTCTGGAGGAAATTTGAAAAAAGCATGGAGGTCTTATTAGGTCAGCACAATATGAATCCTCCCTCCCATATTTGCAACATGTCAGTGTGAGTTTTAGGGCAGCAGTTACCACTGAGACCTCGGTGATATTTTCAATAGGAAATTGCTATATCGCAATTCTGATCACTTTCAGCGATAAACACAGCTGTGATTTTTTTTTTTTCATTCTTGCTACTGCACAAAAAGATCTGGTGCCATGACTTTTAAAATCCTGCTTACAATCCAGACAGTAAATACCATCAATTGGATTTTCAAAACTAAACAGATGAAAAATTGTTGGGCTCATTCATGGATTGTATGTGCAAAAACAGTGCAAAAAATGAATTCTTGAATTGGCCACAACAAGCAGTCAGTTGTTGCCGGAGTCATGGCTTGCTACATAAAGGCTGATAGAAAGTGTGCTCTGATTCGCATTTCTTTGTCTTTGGCTTCTGAACACTTGTCTATGACGTGTTGCTGCTCTGGAGAAATTTACAGATAGCTTGCTAAAGGTTTTTGTGTTAACAGGTAAAAGATCAGGTTACATTGACATTACAGGGAAGCAAAGGATGCAGAGGTTTAGAGTTGAAAGACTTTGTTTTGTGATAACTAACATTCAAACTAACAGGACTAAACTGGAGGTTTCTAGGCAGTAGTAAAATGTTGTAGTGTAACAATTAGGTACATTGTAGTGGCCTAATCCCTCAGTAATAAACAGATGAAGTCACTGTTTGCTGAGAGCACAGAACATCATCAGAACCCTTTAATGTGAGATGAGTTGTTATTCCCAAACTACAAGCCATGAAACATAAGCATGTATGTTGATAACACCTATGTAAACTGACTTCCATTCAGATTAGCATCTTTTCCCAGGCCTTTTCTGCCTCTGATCGGCTTTGCGTTAGATAAACAAATCTTAGGCTTCTCGTTGCAAGGTAATAGAGAGGTCGGTGGCTCGCTCTCAAAGAGCGAGGTCCAGCTCGTGTTTCAGCTGTCGCAAGACACAATTGTTGGTCCTTTGTTCCTGTGGTGTGTGTTTGTGTGTGTTTGTCCTGTTGAGCTTTTATTACCATTAGCCCACAGCGATGGCAACGGTATAAATGACGGATTGTAAAAATGTGATGTGTACTCGCTAAAATTGATGATGGTTGAGTGAGTTTAGGAAACCAGACAAAAGGCTGAGAAACAGAAAACCATGGAGCAAAAGATCGAGTTGAAGGGGGAGCGCAGACAATGGCGTTATCTGCAGACAGGACCAGACACCATGATGTTACATAAGCTGTCTGTGTCTGTGTGTGTGTGTGTGTGTGTGTGTGGACTGTCCACTCATGAATAAAAGCAAGGGCAGGACTTCACAGTTATCAAGTTCAAATCTGATTTAATCACAGCAGAAACGACTGTGTTCACTGTGACAGCGTCTTCTTTCTGTTTTGGACGTCTGTGCAGCGGGTTCGAAGAAGAGCTTCTTCTCTCCTCCTGCTGGTGGAGCTTTGCACGCTGTATTATTTATGACGCCATTATTCGTGGGTCTGCATGCCTGAGGCTAATCTTCTGTGACGTCTTTGTGTGAAACGCATACGTGCTGGTGGCTTTGTCACGAGGACATACAGCATGTGTTTTTTGGATTGGGGCTCACAGCATGATCTCATAGCGACCAAACATAAACACGAATAGCTGTCAGTTATGATTGGGTTGCATTCGTCATTTCACTTGCTGGGTATTTCTCTTCTAATAAATATTGCATATGTGGCTGTCAGCGTTGTCCACCTCCAAGATTCACTTTCCTCCGGAGCAGTGTGGCCTGGAGCATCAATGCTGGATTTGGATTATCTCGTCAAGCGATTCTGTTGCAACATTTTAACCAGATTACGTTCAATAAATGTTATTTGTATGCTTAAAAAATAATGAAGATTTAATTTTCTCATTGCTATTTTTATCAGATTCTTCCAGCCATTCTGAAGAGCCATGAAAATATTTTCTAATGTGAACTATGGCTTGTGGAGCCGGTGTTGTAGCTGTAGGTTTCTATGACGCTTTACATTTCTGGCATCCTGAACGATTGAATTGAGTAGAGGGTATTTTATCACTGCAGTTTCATATTCATAAGTTAAACACTGCAGCTGTTCTGTGATCACTCAGAGAGTCAGAAGCAACACAATTGCTCTCACACAAAGCGCACGCTCTGCCTGGGTTGTGCTGAATGGTGTTGAGTAAGTATGCCTCACTCTGAGCTCGAGCTCCAGCAGATTATTTTATCTAACTGCTAACCCCTAAATCTTATGACAAAGTAACAGTGTTTTCAACAGTGAGGTGAACTGAAGCATGATTATTACTGCTGCTGTGGGGAAAAAATACACGCAACCTGTAATTACCTTGAACAAAGAACCGCAATGAAAGGGTTGTCTAATGTCATTATTCGGACATCATCTGACACAACGCACAGGTTAAATGTTGATGCATCGCTGAGAGAGAACGGTAGAAGCAACAGTAGGTCTGGCACTTAGCGCTCGGTGCTCAGGCTCTGTGGGGATACAGCTGCTGCGCAGAGAGAGCTGCAGGAATGAGCGAGAACTGTGCTGTTCTTAAATATTTTCCCTAGTTGTAGCTCACCAGAGCGGTGTGAAAGTGTGCACCTTTTCCCGACAAAGAGCCTGATTATCACGTTTGAGATGAACTAAAGCTCATACACTCACTTGCCAATTTATTAGGTGCACGTAACCCTAACAGGTTTCCCTTTCCCTGCCTTCTGCCTGGCACAGATTCTACATTCCTCAGAGATTTTGCTCCCTATTGACATGACACACTGTCACACAGTTGCTTCAGATTTAAGGGCAGCACGTGATGTGAATCTCCCGTTTCACCATGTCCCAAAGGTGCTCTACTGGATTGACTGGCATCTGGAGGCCATTTGAGTACAGTGAACTCATTGTCACATTCAAGAAACCAGTTTGAGATGATTTGAGCGACATTGCACCTTATCCTACTGAAAGCAGCCATTAAAAGTTGTCAGGAGCAATACTCGGGTGGGCTGTGGTGTTTAAGGATGATCGGTTGGTGCTCAGAGGTCTGAAGTGTGCCAGGAAAATATCCCCCACAGCACCACTGACCTGAACCGCTGACACAAAGAAACATGGGTCCATGCTTTCATGCTGTTTATGCCAAGTTCTGACCCTACGAATCTGAATGGTACAACAGAAATCGGGACTCATCAGACCGGGCAACGATTTTTCAGTTTTCTGTTGTTGACACGTGTGATCTTCTGCTGCCGTAGTCTGTCTGCTTCCAGGTTTGGCCTGTTGTGTTTTCAGAGATGCTCTTCTGGATATCTTGGTTGTAACAAGTGATTATTTAACTTACTCTTGTCTTCCTATCAGCTCAAAGCAGTCGCATCATTCTCCTCTGACCTCTTGGATCAACAAAGCATTTTGGTCCAGTGAACTGTTGCTAACTGGATCATTTCTGTTTGTCTAACCATTCTCTGTAAACTTTAGAGGTGATTGTGAAATACTCAGACCAGTCCACCTGGCACCCACAACCATGACACGCAAAGACACTTTTCTTCATCGGTTTGAACTTCAACATCTCGTCTTGACGATGTCTGGCTAATTAGATATTTACATTAATGAGCAGCTGAACAGTAATCAGTGCTTCCTCCCTTCTATCCTTGTACTGTTAAAATTCTAAGTGATAAAAATTACAAACATTTATGAAAATGCAGGAACCAAAACGATTACTCCGGAGTATTTCTGCTGTGCTTCAAAGTAATGATACCCACTATTCTAGAAAATATAAGCTGTATTATCATGACCCTGTCAGTGTTTAAATAAACTCTTTTTGATGGTTCAGCAGTTGTGCCACTTGTATTTGTACTTACATGTAATTTAGTGCAATGGTATCCAGCCAGAAGATAAGATAGCACAAGATAAAAAGAAACAGAGCAAAAGAGAAACTTGCATTTTATACAGAGCTGACAGGGAAGCCTTGTCAGGACAAAAAGGATTATAGGAAATAATTTCCACCCACTCACATGTCTGTTTGGATGCAGCACCAGAGGGAATTCAAGAAACCGACAAGATGGCTTCCGATCTTTCTGGAGATATAAGTTTTATGAAACACTTTCTTCTTGGCTGCTTTCCTTACTCACTGATTCTTTTCATCAAATATTTTGTTCTTGTGTCTATTCTCTGTCACTTAGTTTGTTTGTTGTTTTAACAGGCAAGCAAGTTGCTTGAAGAACTGCGAGGTTTTCCCCACATGAGTGCCTAAATCTTTGCATATTTGTCCTTCTAGAGGTGGAAGCAGAGCCAGCCAGGCAGCTGGGCGAGCGACCGTCGAAGCGTCGCTGTTTCTGGGAGTACAGACGTGCTCGGGAGTCAGCCACAAAGAAGAAACTTGGCGGTGACGTCCACTGGTCTCTGTCCTGGAGCTCCAGCACTCTTCCCAGCACGCTGTACCGCCGAGAGGGTGAGAATACAGCATTACTGCGTGATGCTAGTGAATGCTATTTAATGCTGATTGTTTCATACAAAAAATAAATAAATAAAAAAGTCAGAAAAGTTACTAGATTATTAAGTGAAACTGGTTGTTTCTCTGGGGAAGACATTTTTGGAGTGCTGATGACCTAATTATTAAAAAAGATAATTGTCAGATTGATAAGTTAAACCCTAATCAAAGGGCTGGATTGAAGGTTTAGCAGCAGGAGTCATTAACCCAACGTGCACGCTGCAGTTGGGATCGTCCCATTTCCTTTTTCTCCCGTGACACAGATCAGACCTGCACCCTCAGGCGTGTGCCCTACATACAACTTGCATGTCAAAATGTGGATTTTTCAACATTCCCATCGAACGCGAATCTCACGTCAGGCTCAACAATAGTTTTGCTGCAGTGCCGCAGCCCGTGTTGTGCTGTACAAACCAGAATGGCAGTCCTTTAAACTTAGTCCAGTCAAACCACTCAAACAAGAGTCAGCACTGATAACAGTTTACGTGTTGTGTAAATACTCCGTAAATCTATCAAACTATTGGGGTGGATGCTTATTTTAAATCATGTCATTCATTGTACAGTAATTTCTATGTGACATCTCTATGATAGTTCTGTATCATGTCATATACCTCTAATATAGTCATTTCAGGGGGGAAACAATAGCTCTTGTAGAGAGCTCAGATGATCCACCCACACCATTTGCAAATCTTCTATTTTAAGGGGCTAGCAATTAGTAGAAAGTTGGTTTAAATAGCAATTTAGCAAAGTGCCTTGGGTGCCTAATGTTTGTTTCAAACTTTAATCATGCAAAGCTGCTCTAGAAGAGTCCAGTACTAAAAATATAGAGCTGCAAACCATAATACCTCCAAATGAAAGCAGATATTAAAACAAATAGATGCCTTGCCTTGTACCACTGGGAGATTTGGCATCCTGACATTTTAAGGCCAGGTTTGGTAGAGCTGCACTGTTTTTACCTGACCGGACACGTATGGAGTTCATTTTGTTGTCGTTAATTCAGGCAAAAAGGGGCGACGCAAAGCCCGGAAAACAGATGCCAGCGACCTGACGCCGAACCCTCAGAAGCTCCACAACATCGGGGAGCAGCTGCAGAAGCTCAACGCAGCGATCGATGGCATGGGTCCGGTCAACGACCTGCCCGCTGTGGCCCGAGCCCGTTCACGCAAGGAGAAGAACAAGCTGGCCTCCAGGTACAGCATGCTCTTTACTGCCCTCCTACATCCTCTGCACTAAGTGAGAACACTGGAAATGCTCTGTATTGATTTATGAGGCCTGAGTGGGAATTTTAAGAGGGTTTCAGCTTTTGTAATTTGTTGGCAGAAAAGAGAAGCCTGCGGGGCTCTGTGGTCTAGTATCTGCAGTCTTTAGCCCTGTCAAGATTGGTTTTCAAATATGTGCAGCATTTAATAGTTGACCTTCTAAATTCGGGTGGTGGAGGACATGGACGGTGAAGAACACATGGAGACGTGATATCTGTGTGGATTTTAGACCATCAGTTGCATTCATGTGATGGAAAATAAAAGGATCTTGGGAAATGGGTCATGTTTTTACTGATTTGAATTTTTCCTTTGATGATGCCGTCATGTCGTAGAACTCTGCAGGTCAGCAAGCCTTAAAAGAAACTACCATTTGTAAAATTTCAAACAGGCTTTAATTTACTTACAATATGTCCCTCAGAATAACACACACACACACAACACTGAAGGTTGAAAAGCTTGGTCTTCAGTGTATTTTTGCATTGCCTGTTTCTTTGTAACAAACTTACCTTGGATATTATCTTGACAGAATAAGTGAAGGAAGGACAGAGGGAAGCAGAGGAAAAAACAAGAGAGGCGGGGAGATGGAGGGGAGCAGGATGAAAAGCTGAATACAAGGAAATCAGGCAGGATTGAAGAGGCAGACGAGGAGTAGAGGGAAAGATGGGTCATATAAAGTTCATCTTTGCAGGGAGGGAGGGGGAGATTTCAGAATTCAGGACATTATTGCAGGAGCCTGGGAATATCTTGTAATTCAAAACATACATTAAACACGACGCAAACATGTTATCTAATAGAAAGTTTGGCAAGGACTTACAGAAATAAAGCTGAAAAAGAGACTGAAGGGGAGGGGAGTGAGGGAAATTTAACGTCAGAGGAAGTGTGACTGCGAAGTCACCGAGTACATGTTTTTGTTTAGTATGCAGGAATCTCATGTGAAGATTCACTTCTTTTACTCTGTCATAGCTGTGGCTGCGTGAGTCCAGGTTGGGGTTAGTAGTTGGATTAGCCTGACCGCCTTCAGACCTTCCTTCTCATTCTTTTCCCTGCTCATGTCTGAAATAACCTGCCTGGGGCATTCAGGCGGCACAAAGGAAAAACACTGGGCTGGTTCTTAGCCCTCGCCCAGTTTGGCACAACATTCCAGCCAACACGCTTAGCAATGATAACTGTCCCGGATGCTAACTTACTAACTAGACTCAGCAGGAATACACCATCATTTGGGAAAGTATTGTTTAGCTTCTTCAGTGGTTTCATGGTGTAGTGATTTTGACCAGTTAGAAACCAGAGGAGACACAAATCCATACATCCGCTGAAGTGAGCTCTTTCAAGTAATGAACCAACAAAAAGAAGCTTTAACTTCTTCATAGAAATAGACCTATATCACTGCTTTTTTTTTTCTTTCTTTCTTTTTAAATAATTTTATTTGTATTTTATCAAAGTCCCTCCAGAAGCCTCTCCACTGTTCTGAATAGTAAATCTGGCTGCTTGTTTGAAGCTCTTATCTAAATACATGTAAAAAAAGAAAAAGGTGTAACGTCTATTTTAGTGGTGTTTTGGGCATATGAAGTGCATCTATAGGATCACCGGTTAAATTGGATTAAATAACAGCAAAATAAATGAAAACTTAAACACTGTTGCCATCTTTGCCAAAAAATAAGATATAAATAGCATTTTTACAGACTAGAAAAATACACAAATATTCACACCAAAGAAAAGGTGAGTGGTAGGTGTTGTATGAACACGAGCAAAAGAAAAGCTCTGGCTCATTCCACCAGAGCACTGAGCAAACATTAAGCTAAGTCATGTTGTAGATAGAGAAAGCTAAAAATAAAATCATACTAGAACTTACCGTCATCTTTTCTGCTACTATCTTATTATTATACTGTAACTGTATTTGCTTGCCACTACACAATTGACTGTGAGTGAATTTAATTGAGTTGAATGCAGTTTTATTTGTATAACACCGAATCACGACAGCCAACTCAAAGACCCCCCCCCCCCCCATGAGCATGCACGGACTTGGGGAAGGTGGGAAGGAAATACTCCTTTTTAAACTTCAGTATGTAATTGGATCGTTGGAAGCAGGGACAGGACAACCTCCATCATATACTGTTAAGAGGTTTTGGGGGGGTTTTGCTATGCATTTCCTGTTATAATGATTTGTTTCACCTAGCTTGCAAGCTAATGTGAAGTTTGAACCTTTGGCCATCAAGTTTATATGAATTAGCTCAAGTTCGGCTGTGTTCAGGAATATAGGACTTGGTGACACCAGAAATAATAGCAGCAGAATTTCAGGCTGAAGTCCAAGAACTACTTTGGATTTGACACAGTCTGTAGATTTACCCACAGAAGCAAAGTAAATCTTGCAATCTTTGCAACTTTGGCAATCTTTGACATTACAAATGCTGCTCAGTACTCATGTTAAGAAGGTTAATAATCATGTTTCACAGGATGCATAAATTCAGTGCAGAGAATTGCCAACCGTCATCAGATATCATCAGATTGTAGATTTCCTGCCTGATGCATTGTCCACAACACCCTATTGTGGCTGGCCACAGGTTGGCATACAGTTCCAGGTTTCTTAAACACAACCATTTGCAGCCCTTTTCCAAACACATGCATGAACCAGAAGCTTTCAACTTGGTGAACACTTTTCCTACCTTCAGGCAGCGACTGATTTTCATTCAGTACATTACTTAAATCAATTTGCAGCTGTAGGTAATCCATCACAATAAACAGCAAGATCTCTCAAGGACTATTTTTGGATTTGCATTAAGAACAGAAACTCTATATCTCTATAATCACATTTGCAAATGTAAAAACCTGTGGTGCATATTGGAACCTGCTCAGTACTTGGTTAAGTCCCATCCCCGCAGTGATTAGGAACATTTAAATTGTTGTACTGTCGTCCACATCCTCCTCAAACCATCAGGGACTGTGGTACAAAAAAGAAAAACCTGGCAAGGCTCAAGTCAACATGTGGAGAAACACTGAGGAAATATTCTATCCAGCGCTACTGACCTGCAAGTATTTTCTTTCCCTAAGTTTCATTTAGCTCACTCATAGCTGCAGGAAAAGAGAAATTCTCTCCACATTGCAGAAAATAGTCCCCATGAGAGGCATTAATATTTGACACGCGTTGATTGTTTTATTCTCAGCTCCCTTTTTTCCAACACTCTCAAACCAGAACTGGATTTGCCCTTTTGTGGTGTCAAATGGTCCTTCAGAGGGGTTAAAGAGGTTTTCAATCTTCCTCATGGTTTGGAAATACGGTCAGCGTGAGCCAGCTGACTCAGTAACGGGGTCATGTGGAGAATGGGAATGCTCGCACAAAGTCTAAAGAATGACAGTGTTTTATTTTCCTCTGTTTTCAGGGCCTGCCGGCTGAAAAAGAAGGCCCAGCACGAAGCCAACAAGATCAAGCTGTGGGGGCTCAATCAGGAATATGGTCAGTACTCAGGAAATCACTGGGTATTCTTTAGCAGGGGGTTTCAGATGCCTGACACTTCTGACTGTCCCCTGAACATATAGTCAAAATAGTCATTAAACTCTATACATGCTCTTCTTATAAATGATTGCATCTAGATTTTTATTTTATGTTTATTTTTATATTTCTCTCTTTTTCAAATGGGTGACCCTTCTTGCTGTGACGATAATGATATCTGCTTTTTCTTGTGATACAGTCACCTATACAGCAGCACCAAATATCAGCATTATAGTCTAAACATTTAGTCAGTTCCCATCAACTTTTTGGCTTCTCCCAGTAGTGACGGTGTTCAAATAAATTAGAGTAAAGTGAAGTTAAATGGAGGAGAGCAAGAAAATGCAAATCAGCTGCTAATTAATTAAACTGCTACATTCATTAAAAACCAAAACTCTATCCTGGAGGTTTCCACAAAACCAGTGAGTGGTGTCACATGGGTGTGTCCATCTTTTATATACAGTGTGTGGTCCCACACCTAGTCCTAACTGCTTCAACGTGTGTGTTCAGAAATCTTCTTCTACTGTTTGAGTTAGTGTTGCCTTCTCATCAGCTTGCACTAGTCTTGCTTCTCTTCCTTAACCTTTTCTATCAAATAGAAGATAATCTTGGCCTCCTCTATCAGTTGTGTGTGAAAATCTAAGTAGATGAGCAGTTTCTGAGACAAGTTTGTCTCGCACCACAGCTATGTTTAGTTCAAAGACACATAAATCAATTTTCCGTCCCTTGCTCGGTTTGCAGTTTAGGAGTTCGTCTTGATCATGTCGACATGCTTAAATGCTCTGAATTCCTGCCAGGTGATTGGTTGATCAGATCTTTGAATTGTTGAGCCGTTAAACGGGTGAAGCAGTTTTGTATGTACAAAACTTCTAAACATTGTGAGTCTTTTTTCACTTCACGTGAGTTGACTTTAGTAGAGGAAAGAAGTGGGAGAACTGGCTCTGTGGTACAGACTGTTGTAACACTATATATGAGACGGAAGAGCCTTACAATTTAAATTGATAGATGATTGAATGCGTTAATTTATTATACCCAGCGTCAGTTAATGAGAGTAAAACCACATCAGAGGCTGCAGAGTGGCAAAGTGGACATTTTCCTTACTAATGAAATTTAAATCAAGCTAAATTAGTGAGAAACCATCTTTTCAAATAACACTGAAGATGCTCTGTTTAAGAAAACAGGTTAATGCAGAGAACTGATAGTAACAAGACCACGAGGAGCAGGGAAACCCTTGGAAGTGCGACTTCACCTCGCTCCTGATAATCAACACCTCGACTCTGCCAAATCTATCAGCCCAGTTCTGCCCACCTACTCCTCCTCCTCCTCCTCGTCCTACTCTTCGTGCTCCTCGTCTGGTTTTCTATCGATCTCTGTGAATTCCAACCTCACTAGCATCAACTTTCTTTGTCCATTTCTCCTTGATTTTCTCTGAACGTTTCAGTCTTTCCTGATTTTGGCCCAGCATTTGCTCGCAAAGATTTTAGTTTTGGCTTCTGCTTTTGTGATTTTTTGCCTTCTGACTGGCCCAAATACAGAACTTAACCTCACAGATTTCCTTCCTTCCGTTTTTCCTCCTCTGCTCCTGTGTCATTTGTTTTTCTCTTCCATTCACTCGCTTTATATCGCTGCTGTTTGCATCTATACAAAACACACTTTTACATACTTAGCCGCAGATTAAACAGGAAACTTCAAACAAAGAGCACTTTGGTACCATGCCAGTGCTGTGTGAAGCCTCCGGACTTGCTTTGTGTGTATGTGTGCGTGTGTGTGTGTGTGTGTGTTACAGAGACTTGGGGAGCAGCTGGTCAGACCCACTGTGGTCCTTCGCCCACACACGCACTCCCTGCTGATATGAGCCCTGGACAAAAGAGAAATCACATCAAGGCGAGAATAATGTACACAGACAGAAGGGGTGTCATGGCACCACTGGGTCACATGACCTGACAGGGGAGGAGCCACTAGCATAGGAGGTGCCGATGATTCACAGCACTACTATCTGAGCTAAACTAAACAGTTTCTGTTTTATAAGCAAACAAAAACACAGATGTTTGGGGAAAATTTTCAAACACTGGAAAGAAGCGGGGCTTACATAAATATACCATTATAATGTTAATATAATAATTTACTCTTAAACCACCTTTGCTAATTATAGATGTAAAACAATCCATTTATTTTTAAATTAAAAACTAAGATTACCTCTTCTATTAATCACATGCCCACCCACTGGCTGGGCTTGCTGCTTACCATCCGCAAACCTCTCCAAGTATAATATTAATAATAAGAAAATACTTTTTTATTAAACGTACATTTTCCAAGCCAATTTCAACCCTACATTTTCTGCTTTCCCGTGGGCCCAACCAGCTGCTTCTCTGTGCCACATGTTGTAGCAACCCATCTGCTATTATCTCACAGACCCAAGAAGGATTCCTTTAACAAAAAGCGTGTTTCTTGACTCCAGATGCTTCATATTACTAGTCAGTATCTGTTAGCCACTGAGCAGCTCCACTTGGACAGTTAGGAGTTGAAGATCGAGGGTTGAGTCACAAACTCACTCATCTGACCTTTCGGGCACCACTTTCACTCCTTTAGTTTCAGCTTGATGTTTACTTTCCCTTTCTTTTTCTCTCTGCTTTCTCTTCTGCTTTCTGAAAATAAACATCTGCTTCGTACCGCTGAGGGGAGTTCTGCGAGAGCAGCTTTGCATGATTGGCAGTTCAAAATAGTTCTTATTTATCTCACAGCCTTTCTGTAGCCCCTTCAATTCACCCTATCTCTAAAACAAGCTGTTTCAGCTGCTCTCTCTTTGAGCCAATTTACTCCCGATTAGCCATCCCTTGCAAACAGAAGGTCAGTATGTTTGACAGCCCTGCACTAAACACTGTAATTTGTCTCATGTAGGCGACTAAAAATGCACGCCTTTGGATTCTGTGGAACTCCACAGCCCTGAATGATATCAGTTATTCTCCCTCGACTTTCAGAAACAGAATTCGACCCCTGGAAACGCTTTCCTGACTCACACTGCTGTTTTTTCCTCTTTTTGCTGCATAGAAAACCTGTTGGGAGCTCTGCTACGGATTAAGGAAGTGATCAGGCGGCGAGTGGAGAGCAGCGAGGAGGAGGACACGGACGAACGAGGGATGACCCAACGGCTCGAAGACATCCTCAGAGAGTCGAGTGGTGAGAAACAGACTAACATTACAGATATGTAATAAGCAGTTTGGATATTTCGTGCTATAAAAACAGGTTTGATTTTGCTTGCGACTTGTCCTTTTCTTTCCATCGCACCTCCTAATTTATCTCCATGGCTACCTCAGGTCCCTTAGTTGCTGGGCGGACCAAAGACTTTGTGCAGAGGATTTTGGCAGCCAGCGCAGGCGGTCAGAACCAACGCAAAGAGCCCCCACAGGACGGGGATGAGGCATCGGGGTAAAACCCCAAAACAGCAGTCCCTTTTCTCTCCGTACCCTCTTCTTCCAACCCCGCCCTCCCAGCACCACCAACTTGTCGAGACCAAGCTCCTCTACACCTCTTCTGCTCTCACGTCGTACACATTTAAGCAAAGAGACGGCAAAGTGGAGAGGCTGGGAACCAAGAGGAGGTGAGGAAGAAGAGGAAGGAGTAGCCTAAACAAAGCGATAGTAAATTGCTACCTTGCTCCTGGTCCTCTCCTGTTGGTCCTCCAAACAGCAGCCGTCTTCACCGCTCTGTCTCTGCAGGCTGCACCACAACCACCAACAGGCCAGAGCTGCTGCTGCTGCTGCTGCTGCTGATGTCTCTGTATTCTGTGTTGTCTGTGTGCGTGCATAAGTGTGTGCGTGTAACATACTGTATGAGCGTGTATAGTGTTCCTCTCTCCCTCTCTGTGCTGTATTTGTACCCCATTGTGCCTATGAATAGACATTGCACTGTTTTGTAGATGGTCGTAGTTGTTGTCAGGGGGCCGTTAGTGAGCCGAGGGCGAGGGGGCATTTGAGGATAAGAGGAAGTTCTAAAAATAAGGAAGTGGGAGGAGCCCAGGCAACGGAAACAAAGAAGAGGGTGTGTTTGTTTTGGTTTGGGGTTTTTTTTTGTTGTTGTTTTTTGTTTGGCTGGGCTCCTATAGAAGCTCTACATACCATTTGAATTGCACCAGCATCTGAAATGAGACCCAATGCCAGACCAGTCAATGGTAACTGATGGAAAAGTCCTCGGAGCTTTAATAGTCACCCATCCCTCTCTGACACCCCCGTCACCCCATCAAAATGTAAGCAGAGATCAAAAGAAAAAAAAGAAAACAAACTGCACCTTAATTTAAACTGACCAAAGATAAGTGATACTGCTGAACTACTCTGACACCTCTCACCACTTCAGATGCTGCCAGCCATTAACACACCATCCTGTCCTGCTGAGAGAGGGGTGAAGTGACTGATACACTTTTAATTCTTGTCCTATTTACCTGCATGCATCATTCAAAGATGGGCATCACCTGATAGACTTAGATCCTTTTCACGTAAATGCACTACCGTCACGGACCCGAGAGGCCGTGGTGTGGCAGACGGGACTTGACCAAACGCCTTGTCGATTGGTTGGCCGTCTAGCTCCGCAGCCTGGTGCTCCTTTAGCTGATCTGTGGTGGATTTATTTTTTACCCCAAAAAAGGGAAGTGTCCTCGATGCCTGCCCCAAGCCCTCTCCTCAACCCCCTGACCTGATTATGTAGCGCAATTTCCTGACTTGCAATGACAAATAGAGAAAAAAACACACACACACACACTTGTAGAGCTAGAAAGCAAATAATTTGTTTTTGTTGATTTGATTTTGTTGTTATTTGATGATGCCACAGCCCACAAAGTGGGCGTCAGTCTTGAGAGTTTTGAGAGAGAAAAATCTGCCTTTTTATTTTCATTTTTCTTTATTTTTCTGTGGTCTCTGCTAAAGCTGGAGACCAACCTGTCCACACTCTGTAAATGTTGTTGGACGCTAAAAAAATTAATTAAGACCTTTGAATTGCACTGTGGTAAGAGCAACAAAGCACCTTTGAAGAGGGCTTCAAAGCCTCCAAAAGAGAGAGGAAAAAAAAGACTCTTGGCACCTTTTTCTAAAGACAGATATTGATTGAGAGACTTGAGGGCACCAAGCGCTTTGCGACCAACTGCTGGTTTGGGCTTGTTTCAGTATGGTGCTACTATATGATGACAGAAAAGTCATGCAAACACATTTGGAGGCATGAGGCAGTAACTGCTGACTGGGTTTTGGCCTGCAAGGACGTACTGTTGTAATAGGCGGTTTGTTTGCATAATGACGCCTTTCTCAAGTGCCTGGAGCTTAAAGCCACAGGGACCTGTGTTATTAAAACCTATTACAAGGTAAAACTTAACTCGTGACTGCTGCGCCAAGCTTGGCATCACTTGACTTTACTTAGAAGAAGAAGAAGGAAAAAAATGCAGGCTCATCTGGGGTCACCAAAAAAAAAGGTGAAGCAGAATGTTTTCCTTTTAAATTAAGTCTATACATGGAAACCTACATTGTTTTCACGTATATGTTGAAATCTATTTGTGGAAACAATAGTGGGCACTGGTTTCTGTGAACATCATATCTGGGAAATATACATAGGCTGTTCTCGGAGCAATTCCCTTTTGTTTTTTAACCTTGACAAGCTCCCATCTGGGCTGCATTCCAAAGCTGCTGTTCTACACACTGCCCCCTTTCTATGGAAAAAAAATTGGAAAAACAAGACATTTCCTGTCTCATTCAGGAACGGAGCGGTTCAACTTAAACTCTTCACCTCGTGGATGTCTTGCTTGTTGTCATTTTTTTAGAAGAGTGAGGGGCAGCTTAGCGTCGCTCCTGCTTTTAGTTTTCTGCTCTGTTCTGGGAAATGTTGCTCATGGTTGTATAAAGCTGTACTGTAAACAGAGGATTCCTGTCGCTCAGCTGGAATGGCCTTCCTTGCTGGGGAACAGAGCGTTGAGGCTCTGGTGCCAAAGACGGTCTGAGAATGAAAAGATACCCGATTCAGCTCTAATGTCAATGAGGCGTCCTCAACGTTACCACAGAAACCCGCTCAGGCTTTCATGTGATCATCCGTGAAGAGACGCATGATCTCGGGGAAGGTCACTGAGTGTAGCTAATGGTGTGCACTTCTACACCCATAACCCCCCCCCCCCAAAAAAAAAAAATTAACTCACACTTTCTCCCGGGGGGCTGGGAAGCTGCTGATGCTGCCAGCAGAGTCACGGGATCGTGCGCTGGCAGCAGCTCGTGCAACAACAACAGAAAACATGAGGAAAGAGCAGAGAAACAACTGTGCAGATCGCCGAGCTTTAAAACACTCTCACACCCATCTGTCACGTCAGAGGAGGAGGATGAGGTCTTTGTGTTTATAGACTACACAAGTTTGTACAGATATTTTCCTTCGTTCAGATCGTAACACAGCGCGCCATCTGCTGTGTACATTCATCTATATGCCAAAAACTGCAAACAGTTGTAACACGGTGAATTCCTGCCTCTGATCCGAACAGAAAAACAGCCGGTTTTACACAAGCGGTGCGCTCATCTAAGGGCCTTAACTGATGCTGTAGCTTGTTGTATTGTGGAATATCCCTTTAACTGTAAAGCTTTAATAGGGAGTGGCCGGTCTTGGCAAGGCCACTTGTTTCTGTTTCTCACATTCCTGATTCAGTTCCTCTGTAGTGTTTCTGTTTGTGTGCACCTGGAAGGAGGAGAGAGAGAAAAGTGAACTGACCCAAAGACGTCAGTCGTGTGGTCACTGTTCACTTTTTCACGGTCAGAACAGGCCGACCCCAGCCCAGGCTCAGCCGCGGATCTGCTGGGGTTTAACAAACAGCCCAGAACAAACAGTCTCGGCTTACAATTTTGTCCACATCCGACCTAATATAGACAATGACTCTGCAGAAACTGGACGATTCTTATCTGACTGGCTTCCTCGTCGGGGGTCACCATCTGCCAGACGCAGAGAGAAGTAAACAATTGTGAAACTTGCCTGTTGCTCATGTGCACGTGGGCTTTTTCTGAGAAAGTTCTGGAGAAAGGGGGAAGACGTTGAGTTCTCAGCAGTTTAGGGAATGGTGACAGTTGAAAGTAAGGAGCTTCTGCATATGTGGTATACAGAGAGGACACACATCTGAGGCTGTTAATGATTGCTACCAGTGTGGAAATTCCCACTGAAAACGTTACAGGGAGGTTTTAATCTTTTCATCCATTTATCTCAGCAGACTAAGTTTCACGTTTCAAAGCAGTATCGTTGACTGTTGACATTTTAAACGTTAGAGGTGCATTAAATGCTGGCACGGAAGTATGGATACGAAAAGATGCAATATAACTGAGGCAGGTACTTATTAGAACAACAACAAAAACCCCTCTGTGGGCTTATAAAACAGTAAAAGCTCTGTATCTCATACACAGCTGTGCTGTGTGGAGATGCTCTGCTTTTGAAAGACTTCCAGTGGAATTTTGAACTGCAACCAAAACATGAGAAAATGAATTAACAGTAATTCTGGTCATAAAGTGATTTCACAACCGAGATGACCAGACCGTCCCTTTTTCTGGCTGCTGTGAACAGGATTTTATTTCATTGTAAGTTTGTCTGTTATCTTCAGTAACTGTTTAAAATCACGAGATTAACCGATTGTTTTCTTTTTTTACACTCTGACGTTTTTATAGCTGCCTGAGGAAGAAGTGTTAACCTCTGTGTGTGCCATGCTTGTAAAGTGTAGCTTAAATCCTTGAAGCAGCAGTGTTAGGGTGAGAACAATTAGAAGTGGTTGACCTTCCTAAGCTTACACATGGCTGCAGTGGCTTTTTGGACCAGGCATTCAGGCCCTGTGGACCCGCTGGGCTGAATAGACTCATCAGTAAGACTACACCGGTGGGACGCTGCTGACCTCCAAGTGCCCGTCCCCGCTCTGCTCCACTGCTCTCATTGTTGGAAACACTCTGGCTTCTCCAGTTTCAAAGGCAGAGGAGGCCAGGGAAGCGGCACTTAGTCAGGGACCCTGAGTAGTTTATCCGAACCCTTCTAATCCCCACCGTCACCTCCACCCTCTGCCACACTCTGATATCTTTCAATCGCCCTGGTGGCCTGCGTCTCGATGCCCCGCTTCCTTTATTGCTGACCTGAAAACTTCCATCTGGAAGGAGCCAGATGGGGCCCAAGTGTCAGTTTCAACCTGCAGGTCCATATTACTTTTCTCCATCAATTAAATTGAAGTGGAAGGAGCTAGACGAGGCTTTGCCAGTCGGTGCCTCGTGTGTTATCATTGCATTTAAATCAGAGAGCGGAACATCTGTTTTTAGAACATCTGGCAGTGGTTGTCTAAGGACTCTGACTTTGTATGATTAACAAGGTCCTACTTGTGCACACCATGTTCTGCCAAACCTAGATTGCTTGCAAACTTAATGATAAATTATTGAACATTTTATTCAGACAGCAAGATACCACAACTTCAAGGCTTTAGAGGAACTGCTTGGTGCTTTGGGAAATACTGTTGCTAAAGGTTAAATCGTACCTTATGAGGTTATGTGTGAGGCTTTGGTCTTGTGTTAAAGCAGCGGTTGCAATGTCATCTTAACTAATTTGCTAATCTTTTATATGTCTTTATCAGAGTGGAATTTGAACTCTCGCCATTAACATTTTGGCAGCAGCTCTGTTGTTCTTTTTGGAGCTGTATTTAGGCTAGAGGGTGAAAGCACTGTACTGTCAGCTGTGGCCAGCAAACTATATCAAGAAACCGTTTGGTTACAGTACCCACAAAGAGAATACTGTTAATTAGGTATAAGTGATAAAATATTCAGATTGCAGTCGTCAAAACTCAAACACAGACTTGTTGAAAGTCCACACAAGTTAGAAAGTCACATTGTTTGTCAGATAATTCCGTTAAAAAATCCTCAAAGGCACCACCTTTAAAGCCGGGACATGCAGTTCAAGCTGAGGCTTAGCAGGATTCATATGTCCAGCAGAAGCAGTGCGATCGCTGTCCGCTGGCAGTCTGAGAAAGAATCATCTCCCTACACTGAGCTCCGTTTCCAGGTGGAGGACGTGTACAGTCTGGTACAACTGGGAGCTTCTCTTGCTTGTGCTGGTGTTGGTTCATCAGCCAGCTGTGGAAAACAAAAGTTAGGCTTCCAATGAGCTGAAGGGAAACCAAATGTTAAAAGCAAGAGAAAGTGTCACTGTGCTTTTCATGCTGTAGTTTTTGGATCTTAGACACGTACATCATCCACTTCTGCCGATGTGCTGTCAGGATCTTGGAGGACACCAAAGGAGTGTGTTTGGAGTTGGTGAACCCCGTTTATGCAGACAGACACACTTAAACAGCTTCTGATTTAGGAAACAGTCATTGCCTAGAGCTGCCTGGCTCTAGGCAATGACTGTCACCTGGCCAGTTTCACCTGTCAGTCAAACTGGCCATGGCCAGAAATCCAAATGGGTGAATTGCAGTTGCCGTAAAGTGGGAAATTAGCTGTAAAGACCAAAACTATATATTGTACCAGGCTGTAATCATGTTCATGACAGAAGTTGGGCATTTTAACATGGGAGTCTATGGGAAGTGGCAGTTAGACACGTCTGTGGTGCCTTTGTTCTTCAGCCACAGAAGCTGGTGTTTAATAGAAAAGTCCAAAGGACACTTTCATTTCTGTTAAAAAAGTTATTCTTTTGTACTTTTCAGGGGAAATACAGCTGATGTTTTGGCAGGACAGTAACGTATGCAGTGACCAAAAATGCAGACATTCACATTCATTCTCACAGAGCATTTCGTACTACTAGTGGGTTTTGAAAACCTGCATGGTTGTAGCATCCAATACGTTAACAACGTGCTGCACATGTGTTGATGGCACAGCCGGTGGCAGCTGAGACACACCTCGTGGCTTTAACCAAAACCGAGTCAGTCGTTTCTGTCCAGATTGATGATGAGTCGAAACCAAAGGCCAGTTGTGGATGTGAGCAGTTTAAAAAAACAAAAACAGAAAAACATGTCTCATTAGAAATGAAATAGTACTTTAGTATTCTAGAGAAAAATCCTGTGGAGAGAATAAAGAGTGAACAATCACATCCCTGCTGGTTCTTTAATCTGTCTGAAAACACACTGAAAGATGGGAGGAAAGGAAAACTAAGAGACTAGCAAACATTCCACAATGCCATGTCATATACTGTACAGCAACCCTGTCTCCTCCTCTTCCCTTTCTCTCCCCCTCCCACACCCCCCTGTCTGTCTCTCAGTAATCCAGTAATCACAATACTACAGTAATACTTTGGACCTGTTAACACATTAACTCATCTTTATGTAAGTCAGTACGTAATCCTTAATAATAATCAAAAAAAGAAAAAAAATACAAGAAGTGCCGTACAAATAGAAGCCTAATATTTTTTGTTTTTGTTTTGTGTGAGTGTACTGTACACCTCTATAATGTATATTTTAATATTTATATGCAGCTGTTGTATTAAAGTATATTTTTAAAATAAAACACGAGTTTGTTCTTTTTATGTTTTTGCAGTATATCAGGTTAGAAATGAAGCATGTGGTGATATTTCCTGTATTTAATGTAAAACTGTATCTGTGCTAACTTTTGTAAACACTTCAGTTGCTGTTTTTACCCCTTCTTAGTGTGACAGAGAGAAATGAAGAGAAACAATAAAGAGCACATTAATCGAAAACACTGTCTGAGTGGCAGGAGTCAGGATTTGCGTTTCCCTTTAGGGATCCTGAAAGGTTCACAAATACTCAACAGCTCCCCCAGCAGGCCTCACAGGGTTAGAGTGGCAGTTATTAATGTGGGTTTTTACATGATATCATACCGAAAACAAATGTTTAGGAAACATGATAACGTGAAGCAGACAGTTAGAAACAGAAAGACTAACAGTAGTCTGGCTCACATTTCTGTTAGATTAAACCAACGCCTCAGAGATGAGCAGAAATACTGAGGTATATGCCTGCAATCAAAACATTAGAGATAGAATCAGCAAGGGAGAGCGATACACTGGGAACAGTTTTTATACGTTTTTTTTTTTTTTAAAAAGCCATTCAATTTGCAGAAGAAGATGCCCAGAACCAACAGCTTTTGGATGAGTCCAAATCAGCCTACATAAAGAGATTGTGTGGAGGAAAAAAGCAACTGGAATACTTCCAGACAGAAAATTTGGATGCAAACCTAAACAAAATTCACCAAAAAAATTTACTTAAGTAACAGAAAATGATACTGATCCAAAGCATATCAGCTGACAGTGTCTTAAAATGTCCCTTTTATAATCCTAAATCCCCCACCCCCAAATTTAAAGTTACCAGTTCTTACCAGACCCTCTGTTGGCCGTAGCATAGAGGCAACTTTCACCACAACTATTTCAGAGATGTCTCGATGCATGCTCAATGATCCAGGTAAGGAAATCCCAAAAATGGGATCTGGATGTAGCAGTTTCAGTAGGAGACTCAATCATTGAGTGACTTTGCTCTCTCTTCGAAGAGAAAGGGAATGTCTCAGACGAACAATGGGCTGTGAGGGCAGTTTCTTGATCATTAATATCTGTTTTATATTATTGTGAAGCACTCTGTGGTTTTTATCCTGTGAAGAGTGCTATATAAGTCAATAAAGTAAAAATAAGTTAAGTAGTATGCAAATTGTCATTATCATTGATCAACAACCACGGATCAAAGATCAGTGGTATCATTCACCACATAAACAGGGTGTAACTTTAACACCAATTGTCTGTATGCTCAACTCGGTCACCTATAACATCTCAAAGTCTCTGGCTTTGATCTTCAACCCGTTGGTAGGCAGCTCTGAACACCACATCCAGAACACTTTGGATTTTGTTGAGAAGGTGAGAAATGTCCTATGGAGGCAGATGAAACCATGGTCTCATACGATGTTACATCTCTCTTCACTTTTGTTCCAGTCACTGAAGCAGTGGAGGTTGTTCATAAGAGATTACAGGATGACCCCAACCTCAGCAACAGGACCACTCTCACCACAGACCAAGTGTGTTTGCTCTTGGAACTGTGTCTTAATTCCACCTATTTCACATACAAAGGTCATGTAATACTGACCCATAGCACACGCGGGTTAGTGCACCATGACAACCCACGGTGCACTAACCCTCATGTGCCATGGGTTCACCATTGTGACCAATGTGGACATGAAAGAAGTGGAAAAGAGAACTCTGTTATCATACCCTGGAACAGCACTAAGTCATTGGTTCAGACACCTTTGTGTCAGGATGTACCACAATTCATGGATCGCATTAATTCGGTGGACCAACACATCAAATTCACCAGGGAGGATATGAAAAATGGAAGGTTAGCCTTCTTAAACTGTAACATTTCCATCAATAATGGGGGGATATTTAAAGTAGATGTTTAAACCTATGCATATGGATCAGTATTTAAGGTTTCACTCTCATCGTCCACCGGAGCATAAACTGGGTGTCATCAGGACGCTACAACACAGAGTGAACACCATCCCCACAGACACAGCGGCCAGGAAGAACATCACATCAAGAAGGCCCTGAGTAAATGTGATTATCCCAGCTGGACATTTGTCAAAGCTGGGAAAGCTCCTAAAGAAAGCTCCAGCCGATCCAGGAGAGAAGGACAACCGCTGCCTAAGCGAAAACCCTCAGTGACCCCATATGCATCTAATAATAATAATAATGTATACTTTATTGATCCCCGTGGGGAAATTACTCTCTTTGTATTTGACTTATTCACTCAGTGAAGCAGTGGGCAGCCACTGAGCAGGAGCTCCGGGGAGCAGTGTGTAGGGATGGTACCTTGCTCAAGGGTACCTCAGGGTAGCCGTTCAGTGGATTCGAACCCCCGCCTTTCCGATCATGGGAAGGTAAGCAACCACTCTACCTACTGAGCTATCCCTGCCCTGCGCTTTCTCTAAACGCCACCGCGTCTCTGTGGCTTTCAAACCCTAAAACACGCTGCGTCAAAAATCGGTCCTCCCCAAGGATTGGGTCCCTGTTTTGTCTGTATTATCAAATTGAACATATTAGACCTTGATGTTCTTTCCCCATCTGATGATGCAAAGAAATCCTTTATCCTTTATTACGTTAGCTAACGTAATAAAGGAGTTTTTAGCACAAACTTTTCAAATGGCCTGTCACAAAGGCCAGTTTGAAGACCTGCAGAATTTGTCACTACTTTGTTGGTTTCATTTTTTCAGATTTTTTAAATGAACTATCTTTCTGATTATAAATGCCATTTGGTATCACATTTGGTCATTTTATACAATAAAAATCATGTACTTGTGGTGATTGTAGTATCCAAATACCACTGTCCAGAACAGGCACAGTGAAGAGCAGTCTTTCTCAAATCCATTCACACTCCCATCGCTCTGTATGAAAACTTATGTAAGTTAATGCATTAAAGATGAAAAAATGCCTAAAAGAAATCTTCCAACCCTGCTTACCTTCTGATCTCCTCACACATGCATAGTCACTGAAGCTTGTCAGATTTTTTAGGTGCACTTTAGCTGAAGCTTATTGGCATGTTCATAGATGAAAATATAGTGATATAAAAGAGTTTCTGAATAAATGTTACTAGAAGTGAGGTAGGGACGTTTAATTAACTGTATCAACCCTTCTCTCAAAAGATCCATTATATGGCACCATTTATTTGCTTACATTTATATCATCTACATATGATCTGTTGGTTTATTACCTCAGACTAACAAAAATGAAAAATCCACAGCAACTTATTATGAATTGTGATACTTTCCATTCCAATATTTCTTTTCCTAAAAAACTTACATTTAATACCAGAAATGACCTGATATGATTTGATGGGAAAATGTCATAATTTGACCACAATGAACTATATAACTGTGTGTTTTTGTTTATAGATTTTGAAGCCTTGACTCCAGCTTTAAGCTTAGCTGGATAGTGCACAGACATCCTGCTAAATATAATTTCATATACTGAAAAGTTAGTCCTCTTAAATAGTCTGCTAGTATATTTAATCACACAGCAAACTTTATTATTTGTCAAACAATAACAAAACAGCCACTAAAAGTTCCCGCATTAGAAAGCACAAAAGTCTGTTTCAGTGACTCAAACCAGCTAATGTTAAAAAAAACCCAAACAAACCCCAAAACAATTTAAAGGGGGTGGGTGATCATAGGAAAAGTTGCTAATCAGTGTCACTGTGGAGATGAGTGTCTGATTGTGTCACTACTTTTCTACAGTTCCAGCATGATTACACTGAACCCTCATATGCAGAGTCCAGAAACAGTGAGTGAATGAACGTGGCTATTGCCATTATTTGTATACAGTCTTTGATTTTAACATGGGTCTCTAGGGGAAGTGATTGGACGGACTCACTTTTTCAGTCAGCCATTGGCTACCCAAAATGATCCCGTGGCTATTTTGGCACTTGGATGTTGGATTTTCATATCCAGCAGTTGCTGCTTTGCTTGAACACAGCTAACATCATTTCATGTCTGCAGTTAGTTCTGTGCATTGCGTGAGGTGTGCTATCAAGAGTCAAATCACTTGAATTACAAAGAACCATTTATTGGGATTGATTCGGTTCACATTTACATTAAAAGTACCACAATTAAAAACATTGAAATCAAGTCTCCTCTTCAGTGAATTACTGTTCAAGATTGCACAATGCCCAGCTCTGGAAAGACAGTCAATGACTGGTCCTCCGTCAGGAGTCAAAATATCACAGAAGCAGCAGAAATCTTAAAAATTCTCATCAGGATGGATCAGAAAGAGGTTTGCAGTTTTTTAACATAAGAACGGGAATGAAACAAAATGGACCTGTTGGCACTCAAGTCTCATTGATTAAGAATATAAGAGTGAAAGTATTTGTTGCATACACATGGGAGAAACGTTACAAATGAACACTGACGATTTGATGAAGACAAGTCAGAACTCATCTATACGAGGAGCAGCAGAACGGAGAAAACAAGAGAACATATTTAACGTTCTGAAATGACGCAAAGCTCTCAAACGGCTCCACTTGTCTAAACAACAAAACATTCACATTAGCACCACTTACAGCTTACAAAAGGACAGTTTTCTTTGAAAACAATGGAGTCATCATCGTTCAGCTGGATGAATCATGCCCCGTCCCACTGACAGAAATCGCTGTGAGAAACTCTGAGCCATACATTTGAACATTTAAAAACAATCCACTGTAGGATCTATGATTTATATGACTTCTCAGGAAATGTCACCAGGTGTGGCTCAAACACAAATTTCTATCTTCATGGTTTGCTGCACAGCTCAATCAGTTTGTCAGCACATGTCACTCAAAAACAAACAAAAAACAAAACAGTGATTTCAATTTACAGCTATACAATACAGTTGACACAGAATGGAATACACCTCTTTGTCTGCATTAGGCTCTACTCCTAAAAATGGCTTTAAAGTAGTTCATCTTGATATTCAAAACACAGACTGAGAGCTGTTCTGTACTTTCGTTCATGTCCCAGTATCCATCTAAGCCTGAGGCACAGGAAGTGTCCCTCCCCCTTTCTCTGAGTTATTGCATTCAAAAATCAGACAGCATCTGCTTAAATCAGGCCTGCAGGTTCTTCTTCTGCTTCCAGTGCCTCTGTCCAGACTCTGATTAAGCCTCCTTGCTTATTTCAGCTAAAAAGCTTCTTGGCCCTGCCTACCCTCTGATTAAAATTTGGTTGGACGGGGGTATTGGCAGGACAGCAGTGGAATTCAAGTATCAAACCATGGTCTGAGGCCAAAGTGATGCAGCTGACATCATCAGTCTGCAGGATTGCTTTGAAGGAAATCTTCCCATCGAGACGAACGGAGCTGTGGGTGAAAGCCGATCCTTGATCATGGAGGAATGGTGACAACAAGCTTTAAATCAACTTGCACTAACTTATAATGAAATGCCAGTTTTGGAGAAGTGAGCAATTGAGCTGGGCACGAGGGCTGAAACAAAAATAAGTTCTCAGGTATGAAGCAGCTTAGGGTTTGTTACAGATGTCATTTCACAGATAAAGGGCAGGTAACACTGGGCTACAGAAATGATGGCGGG